GTGGATTTGTGTATTGCTTTAAAAGGAGGTGTCATCTGCCCCAGCCTATGTTATATTCTCTGACTTGGTTGGGCACATGTCAGTTTTGTTATCACCAGCCCAAAGCTGTGTATTGCATGATGTTATATAACCTAATTTGGTACATACTGAAGAAAGCCATAGTTATTTGGTTGTAGAAATGTGCTGTCACAGGTCACAGTGTAAGAGAAGGAGATAGGGACTAAGCCCCTGTTTCCAGAGCAGCAAAGATACCTGCTCAGTAGAAACTCCATCAGCCCCCAGGAGGGAGAAATGCTCTGTGACCCATGCAAGCAGGCCCCAGAAGGAGCCCGTGAAAGGGAAGAACGAAACAGAGCTTTTCTAGTAAAGGAAGGGATGACTGAAATTTTTGAGATGGCATCAGGAGAAATGTGGAAAAAGAACCCCAACAAGTTGTATTTATTAAAGAAACCATGGTCTCACACGATTTACAAAATTCTTAGGGGCCAACCCAAGCTGTTTCTGGCAGCCAACAGCTATCTAACCAAAGGAGTAGCTGCTCACCTTACCAAGATTATGCTTCAAATAGCCCTGAAAACTGATTCTGTGTGTCTTTTTCAAATGAAAGCAAAATTCCTCAACAAATATACTTCCTTAGTTTAGGTATTAGCCAATAGTACTTACTCTGTAAAGGCCAGTGGTGGATTCCTGATCCAAGCTTAAGGATCCTGTGACATCACTCAGAAACTGCAAGTGTTACAGGAAGCAGCACAGCTGCTGTGTGTGGGATTTTCCAAGTGCCTGTGGTTTCCCAACCACAGCATTGGACACAAAGTGCCAAAGGCACCTGGGATGAAGCAGAGCATGGCACCCACCCCTGGGACACTCCTGGTGCTGCAGTGCTGCTGTATGGTGCTGCTCTGCCATGCTGCAGCGTGCTTTATGTGGAAAACACACTAATCTGATTGCTATTGTAAACACCCTACAGTCACAGCAAAACACAGCCATTTCAGCTGTGCAGAGACAGCTTGTGTGTGTTATGGCGGTGACTCTACACTAGGTAAAGGTGAAGTTACTGACACCCAATGGACTCATTCATTGCTAGATCTGTGCCCTTCATTTAAAGCCAGCAACACTGTTCAGGTTGGGATTTTCCAAATATAGCTTTGACAACCCAGTTCCAAGAGCCCAGGGGAAGAGACATGACTACTTTGCTAATTGATGCTGGTACAACAGGGAGGCTCAGCACTGTCTACAGCAGAGCTCTCCCTTAAAGTGGACTAGGTCAGTTGGATGGCAATTGTACCAAGTCAAAAAGCAATTCTCACAAGCAGATCCTCTTTCTCTAAGTTATTACATATCCACAACAGTACTACTAGAGTGGGAGAACAATGTATTCAAACTGGAGGGACCAGCACAGAAACATGTGTGAATTCAATTACATCTGCCTGTGGACATGTTTTGCATCATTTCAAACCCTGTGGATCTAGTTCATAATCTAGTCTGCCCTCTTGCATAATCCAAGACATACATTTCTCTTTGGTAGGGGACTGAACATACTGTGCTCAAGAACTTGTATTTTTAATAAAAGTACAGCTAGTACTTGGCTAATACATACATTTCAGAAAGACATTCAGTTTTCTTCTGATGGCCTTGAGGACATTCAGAATTTACCACTTGTCACATTACATCCTCAATTGCATAAACCCAGTCTTAAGTTCTCCATGGGGACAGTGTCTCATTCAGAACACAGGACAAAATCACTTAGCTAGCAGCCATTCAATATTTTCTTTTCGCCCTTTTTATTTGATGTATAGCCCTAAAAGCCTTGTTTACTGCACATTATTCCAGCTCTATTCTGAAGGCAGAATGATTAATTTCTTTACAGACATTTCTATACTGCTCATCAGATGCTTCTAACTTGTTATGTGCAATTTCCTAGCTTTTGGAAAAGCACATAAAGGAATGCCATTATGTGGCACCATATAACTACTGCCATGATTCATATCAGCAGGGATAGACCAGACCTCTGCTATCTTAGCTAACAGGTGTGAACCACAGTCTGCAGCAGGGCCAAGTTAAAGGAGGTGAGGTACATCTTAAGCAAGTGATTTTCACTGACATTTGCTGGCACCAGGATGGAAAGATTCAGAATCTTAAGGAAACTGAAGGGCATGGAAAGGAAGTACTCTCACAGGTTCCTGCCCCTTTGTCATTCTCCTAAGACTGACCTCTTTAATTCACTCTTTCCAGCATGCCCACCCCTCCATCCACATCTTCTTATCTATCCAGTCCTATCTGGCATTATCTATCTTACCCTATTTTCTATCTATCTGTATTTTTCTCACTTTTTGAGTTTCTTTCCTCTTCCATACTTGCTTACAGACTGAGTCTCTGCCCTCAAATTTCTCATCTTACTGTCTCTTTCAGCTCTTCTGAATTTTACATCCATCCCTTGACTAAAACATCATCATGGCATACTCTGAACTGGAAGAGACACAAAAGAATCACTGAGACCATCTCTTGGTCTCACAAAAGGCAGCCCCAAGAGTCATTCCATGTGTCTGAGAGCATTGTCCAACTGCTTCCTGAACTCTGGCAGGCTCAGGGCTGTGACCATTTCTCTAGGATACCATTCCAGGGCCCAATCATCCTCTGGGCGAAGAATCTTTCCCTTATATCCAATCTAACCCTCCCTGACACAACTTCAGGCCATTCCCTCAGGTCCTGTCACTGTCACCACAGAGAGAGATCAATGCCTGCCCCTCCTCTTGCTCTCATGAGGAAGGTGTAGCTGCAATGAGGTCTGTCCTCAGTCTCCCCTTCTCCAGGCTGAACAGACCAAGTGACCTCAGCTGCTCCTCATATGGCTTCCCTTTAAGACCTTCCCTGTTTTGGCTGCCCTCCTTTGGACACTCTCTGAGAGTTGAATTCCCTTCTTACACTGGGGCACCCCAAACTGCCCCCAGCACAGGAGGTGATGCTGCCCCAGCCCAGAGCAGAGCAGGACAATGCCCTCCCCTGCCCAGCTGTGATGCTGTCCCTGATGCCCCCAGGACAGGGCTGGCCCTCCTGGCTGCCAGGGCCCTGCTGGCTCAGGTTCACCTCATCACTGAGCAGGAGCTCAGGTCCCTTTCTGTGAAGCAGCTTGCCAGCCCCTGATGCCCCATGCTGCATGTACACCCAGGGTGGCCCTGGCACAGGGGCCCTCATGAACCCATGGTGGCTGTGCCCAACGATGGCACTGCCTTTCTGGTGGTTTTCAACACCTCCTGGAATAATGTCTATCATTTTACCAGTCACTGAAGAGAGACTGGTAACCACAGACAGGCCTGTAGTTACAAGAGTCATTCTCTTGCCCTTCTTGAAAAATACTGGAGTTTGAGGGGAATAAGCATTCACAGACTCCTTAAAACTTTCAGAAATACTTACCTACTAAGCATATATGTGATTTTTAAAGGTTACAACTTGGATAACCTAGGAAATATTATGGTAAAAAGCACATTCATATGTTACCCATTCCCGACAAAACCTGGAGATAACAAGTCGCCATAAAGAAGATATTGCAGAAGCTTTTAAGGTCTCCTCTTTAGCCTCCTTTTCAGAAACAGCAAAGCCATGTTGGAATGACATTTTCTGAAGTAAACTGGGCCAGAACATCTGAGATATGCACCTTGGAAACTTTTATTCCAAGTTACTACAGTTTCAGGAAATTGCAAGTAACTGAAATGTGAAGACTCAGAATGTGGTTATGTCCATAAAGTAAGACAAAAATGAGAGCTATTAGTATCATGTTGGCACCTAATTTGATGGCTTCTCTGGTATCAACAACTTCTCTTAAATTATGACAGAGCAAGGAACATCATTTCATCTGGCTTGGTTTTTACTGAGCGAATTTGCAATATATTATTGCCCCATATAAGCCTGATATGTGTACAGCAGCCTTGTAATGTTCTCCTGACATGCACCAGCTATTCATTTGCTATTTTTGTACTGAACATTTATTATTATCAAATATCTTGCCCTTTGCCTGTAGGTTCTACTATTTTTGTTAATTATAACTTCACTTAACATTTGATGTCTTGTACACTGATACCCATTCAGTTTTGGAGTTGCCAGCAAACCTCATCAGGACCATATTTATGCCAGGAGATACAAATATGCTAGCAAAGACACTAAGCAGTCACATGGATACAGAATTCCTGTAAAAATTAAGTTAGTCAAGACAAACTTCTAAAATTACTAAGAGAGACCTGGTAAGGGCTACAGTTAACAAGAGACAGCATTGATGAAACATGATTAACTGCTCTGATTTCACATGAGAACTGGCTTTTGGTCTTCCACAAAGCTCCCTGTATAATTACTATTGTTATTAAGCTCTAGGCCCAGTGTCTGGAAAACAGTTTTGGGCTTGGTGCCATAGAGAAAAAGAACACTTGCTGGGTAGGAGTGTTACCAAAAAAAACCCCACAAGTGTGGAGTCCCTGCCCCTACACAAGGCTGGAACCAAGCTGCAGCTTATAACAGTAACAGATTCATTTTATTGTAAACTCATAGTTTATCTTGATTTTAACAGACAAAAGAAACCAGCCCAAGTTTCACAAACCCCATATCTATCTATCTATCTATCTATCTATCTATCTATCTATCTATCTATCTATCTATCTATCTATTTTCAGTGATTTAGTTCTTTAGATCCCTCAAACATCAGTGTACTGCTTATTTAAAAGGCATAATAGTTAGTAGGAAAACCAGCAAAGACAATGTAAGTGAGTTGACTCCCAAAAGTATCAGCCTTTGTCAATTAAAAAATTTACTTTTGACACAAGTCCTAATTAGTTAAAAATTCAATCCAGTCTTAAAATAGAGGTTCAAACTACCCAATTTATTCTTGGAACGGTCACTTGCTCTCAGGATTAGGAAGACAATGGCATCCAGAGCAAGCATAAGCCCTCTCCCCTTTTATTACAGTTAATCAGGAACATAAATACTATAATGGAGCTGAGCCCCTGCAAACTCACCAGGCTGTGCATAATTTCCACTCCAGCTGGATTCACGGTGAGTGCTTCATCATACAATTGCTTAGCCTCCTCCAAATTGCCTTTCATCTCTGCAAGCCTCCCACGCATGTACAGTACAGCATGAGATGTGGGGAAAAGACTGGCTGCCTCCTGGGTACAAAAGCCTGCTTCTTTGAGATGCTGCTGTTCCAGGAAGAGTTCAGCTGAAGGAAAAACAAAACACCAAGCCATAAAAATAAAGCAAAGAACACCCTGCCATTAGATGAAATGAAGCAGAGACCTTTCTTCGTATTAATTATATATCATCTGACTTACTTAAGCATATTAAAACATGAGGCCATGATCCTGCACAATGCTTAGTACTACGGTTAGAGCTTATTATCATGACTGGATTCACTGAATGTATCTTTTCCTAATGCTAAGGGATCTATCCAGATGTTCATGGACACCTTTGGGTGATGTCCTGACAAAGGCCTTAAGGATTCCTCCATTGGGAAGATAAATGGTGCTGAACTGAGTCCTAAGGAGGCTACTTGGAGTCATCAGAGGTATTTCTAAATAATTTGGGGGAGAAAAAAAGAACAGAGTAAGCTATCACTGTCTACTGAGAACTTCAAAAATGTCAGAGTAATAGGACACATCTGAGCTGGACACTAGATAACTTACTTGGGAGAGTACTTTCCCATTTAAAAAGATGATTTAAAATGTTTTTCTCTTCTTATTTGGCAAGTTTATGAGACAACTGTCTCTTATTTTTTCAGAGACTGTTAAAATCAAAAGGCCCTTATAATATAGGCTTATTTATATTGTGTATTCATCTATTTACATCTTCATACATTACAGAAAAACAAAATACAGCTCTTGGAAGAGACTGCTCACTTACTTTCTTGAACTATCAGCAACTGTCTTAGTGGTTTGCTTAGAAAAAATATGAAACAGGCATATTTACATGTTTGAATGTCAACTTGTTAATAAAATAATGTCTCATGATAAATTTCATAATGTATCTCATGGCTGAACTTTAACATTTCTCAGGATTTGGACTAGATAATTGTGGTGTTGGACTGGATAATTGTTGTAGATCCCTTCCAACTGAAATTGAAATTCTAATTCTTTCAAAAGGTCAAAAAGTGATACTCAGTTTTCACTGCCACATGTAATGAAAAAGAGAAACTGTTTTTATATATATACACATACACACACATGTAAGCATGTATGTACATGAGATACTCTTCATACAGGCAGGAATTGCTCTTTGGTCCATAACCTGTGTTCTACATGCTCTCACTGCAAAAACTCAGTGTCTCTCTCTTATTTTTTTTTATCTGATGTCATGCAGTAAGTATTGACAGTTCAAGAGTCCAATTCAAAATCACTAATTCAGGCTCTAGATTTAGAAAAACAATTCTGAAATTAGACACAACCTTAAATGTCCTGAATTTTTAGGGCAGTGAATATTCTTAGGAAGTCTCTGTGAGGGGGGAAATTAGAGTGAAAATTCCTCTTGAATATCTTTGAAACTGTGCAATTTTGAAACACTGGGAGACCCAGATGACTGTGGGGACTTGGCTTGGTCACGTGGATCTTGCTGGAGGTGAGCAGGGAAGCAGCTCAAAGGCAGTCCCCTGCCTGACCACAGGAAGGCTCCACCTTGGCCTATGAGACTGGGATAATAAATGGTATTTCTACTGGCACACCAAAACTGATTCTGTAGTGAAATGACAGCATGGCTGAACACCCTTCCGCTTCTGAGGTGACCTTTCCAGAAGAAGGGCGAGACATTGTTGAGAAAATGCTTGAATATTTCTCCGCCATCCCTAGGTTGTGGTACAAGATAAATGTCATTCTCCAAGGCTGTCAACATGAGCAAAATATTAGCTCCTTCAGAAGAGTTATACTCTTTCAGAATGACTCATACACATTTCTTCCTGGTTAATCATAAAATCTCTGCATGCATCCCTTCCCTTGGCTCCAAGAGGCTGCAGCTATCTACAATAACAGAAGGCAAGGCCATGTACCTTGTCAAGCTGAATATGTGCACAGCCTTATGCAAAAATTGGTGGGAGGACAGTATTTTCCTTGCACTTCCAAGGAACAGAGTGTTTTCCTGCCAAGTGCTGCATAGCAGCTGACGCCATGCATGTGGCATTAATGAGCCTGGGGATGTGCAAAGTGACACTTCACAGCCTGAAGATGAACACTCCCTCCCCAAAGTTTGCACAAACTTAGCAGCACAAAAGAAGGGGTGAAATCCTGGCACTGTTTGAAGTCAGCAGAAGTTCTGGATACTGCCATACTTAAAGCTCTATTAGCAACTAAGAGCATCATGTGACTTGTTTCATTTCAGAAGAGAACTGGGAGCAAGTGGGTTTAGATGTGAAATCATGCACGGTGCTTCAATGCATGCAAAATAGAGAGTATTTATTCTTTCTATGGTGCCTGTAAGTCTTCTTCTGTAATAACAATTATTTAGAGGAAGTACAGCAACACATAATCTAAATAAGAACTACAAATTGTATTTTATGGTATGGTAATGTAGTGTATTAAAGTTCAGTCCATTTCTTTGCAGACTCAATAGTCAATAAAAATGATTTAATGGTGTGGGAGTCCTAATTTGCATAAAAAAGAATGAGAGGGGTGCCTTTTGGTTATGAAAGGAAAGGAGTGATAAAATTTTTAGCTACCCAGCTAAAAATAGACATTAAAGGACATCATTTAGGTCTGCATTAAAATGTGTTTTCTGTAAACTCATTTTTCACTTCTATTACACACTCATTTTATTTACAGATTAACAAGATATGCTTATGTAACATGGAATAAAAACACATCTAGAGGCAGAAATCAAACTCAAAAAACAAGGACCTATTAAATTTACCATGGTAAAACCCTCAGTGGTACTGAAAGTACTGAAACACCTGCTTTCATGTTACCTGGGTTAGCAGCTTCTTGTCCACTGGATTAATCAGCCTATCTCCTTATATGAGCTAATTTTGCTGTAAATAACATCTAACCAAATTTGCAGCCCTTGTGAGGAAGTTCTGTTACAGAGACTTGGCATCCCGTTGCACTTCAAAGCAGAAAATACTTTCTCATGCTGACACAGGTTTCTAGTATCTATAATTCTTATCCTGTGAAAGGGTCAATGCTTTAGGGAAACCATTTATGAACCTCTCATCATTGTACTAGAGTGTTCTTGGTACTGACTTTCTTCAGAGCTTTGAATCTAAAACCAAGCTTCCTTGCTCTCTCACTTAACACCATCTCCATAAAAACATCAATAAATTTACATTCTGTTTTGACCTAAAAGCTCTCTGAATGCTGCTGAGCAGAGAGATGATGATCCTGCATGTACCACTCTTCTATTATTCTCTGGAGTAGTGACTGAAACTCTGAGTGTGAATGACATTAGGGAATATTTCAGCACTCTCACCTGCAGGAAAGAGACAGTGCACTGCATGGATGGGCCAAGACAGGTTCAATCTCTCCTTGCATTCAGTTTTTGAAGCCTGTCCTGCCCTGAGACCACAGCTGACTTCAAGGCTCAGCCTAGCATGATTCATTCCTTTCTCAGATCCACTTTTTGTTGCCCATTTGTGCTCTCTTGCAATATTGTCCAAACTATTCTGCTGTTCTTCCAAACAACTGCTGTCCTGTGGCTATGGCCTCTTCTGTCTGGACTTGCAACTGGACTGCTGCACCCATTTTAATGCTGGGCCCAGTCCCTGAGAGCGGCATGCCTCAGCAGCACTGAGAATATTATTAACTTCTATTACAAGCTCCTAGTTCTTTCAGCTATTTCTGCTAACATTTAAGCTCATCTACAGTGAAGATCCTTAATCAAGTGAAAATTGCCAGAAGCATATCATCTACTTGCTCTCCAAAGACCCCTAACAAATGCACAGAGCAAGAGCAATTCCCAGAACACTGACAAAGCTGGGTGTCCTACAGTCAGCACCTTTATTTTGTCCAAGATAAAATGATTTGCAGAGCTCTGTTAGGGAGTCCATCAGGGGTGTAACAACAGTGTAACCCAGTCATGTCTGCACAACACTGCAGTCTGAGGAACAGAGCTGTTCAACATCACCTTAAACACTGACTCTATTGCCCATTTCAAAGCAGTGTCAGGAGTGATAGTGCTTGTCACTGCAGCAACTATTTGAATTCTAGCCTAAAGAAATCAAACAGATTTGAAATGTTTTTCTGCAATGTGAAAGAGTTAAAATTTTGTTACGTGTGAATCACGTTTGGTGTTATCCAAGAGGCAGCACTGAACTCCCACAAAGTGGACTGCTCCACATCCCTTGTGTGTGCCTGATGCATCTAGAGCACTCTACTCTTGTCCACCTCAAAAATGTTACTGCAGAGTGACATGGCCAGGGTAACAGCCAAATGCCCAGCAGGATGGGACAGTGCAGAGCAGCCCTTCACACTCAAGAAGGTGAACACATCTGTGAGGGTGTTGGAAGGTGATTTCTGTTCCACATCATCTGCCCTCAGGAGTTATTAATGCTTGTTACTGCAGGAGCCCTTAGCCAGCTGGAAAGATCCACTCTGCCATCAGCAGTGACTACTGAGCTATTACCATGACAAAGGGACCCCCACTGCCTTTCCTTGCTGGCAGGTGAAGTTTAGTCATTGTTCCATGCTCTGACACCACCCTGCATGCAGTAGCTTGACAATTCGTGGCAGATTAGGCAGAAGATTCCTCCAGGCATATCCTCACTACAATAATTCCATTTGATGCAAACGTTTGATACAGAAATGAAGCACAGGAACTGCAACATGTTCCCATACACCTGAGATCAGCCACTTGCTCTTCTGAATGAGGCAATAGATTTATACCCTCTCTTTGCCTGCAAAGTGAACTCCAGGGACTGGCTTAAAATTCCCAAGCTTCAGGTCTCACAAATGACCACCAAGCTTCTTTATTTACAAATGCAGCATTAGAGTGAAGGTTTTTGGAAGCAGCATGTAAGTGCCACAAGCTACCTTCTATACTAAATGGTTCAGTCAAAACATGACTAACAGTGCAGTTAAGTATAAATTCCTATTTTCTGTCTCTGGTATGAGCAAATGTCCTGCCTCCTTCATGACTGGGTACATTTTATCACCTGTCCAAACTTACTGAGCAGCTGAGGAAATGTTACTTTTCAGTACCCTCAGTCACTCTCTGGCAGTGCAACAGGTTTCTCTCCATCTCTTG